TTCTTATTTGAATTCGCATATTTAACAATTGATAAATTGACATTTATATATAAATAATCAGAAATTGTGTTGAACAGTGTACATTTTATGACAGATAAGTTATTTGTTTGTTTACAAGTAATATAAAATACAGATTATAAATTTTTCATTGATAAATGTAAGATGCGTAATTCAAAACATTGAGCACATTATGACAATTGCGTATTAACGTATTATCAACTTTAGGATATGATGTTTTTTAATTAATCATTCAAATGACCCATTTATTATTCCTTTATCACTAATAATTGAAAAGATCCAAATTAGATTAATATTCCTTGCGTTATTTAATACATTAATTTCACGTAGAATATTATAGGGTAAGAGTATGTAATTGTTTTTAATGCATATAACATTTTTACGTTTAACAATCATATTTATTTAGCTATACAAACTATCAAAAATTAATAATAAGATATAATTTTATTTAATAAGTAATAAACTGAAATAAAAATAAATTCTGTTTAAAAAACTAAAAATTATTTTTAACTTTTTAGTTCGATGTACTTTAAAAACGTGTTTTTTTAGTCTTTTAAACTATATTTATTTTTTACTTTTAAATTTTTTATGACATCGCTATCACAGTTACGGGTTGTCTATAGTCAATTATGACTATCAATAGATATAATTTCTGTATTGGCAGTTAGTGTATTTATAAATTCACAACTGTGTCTTAATACTATTGATAATAAAGGCTATATACCTGCGAATATCGTCATAAAAAAATTATACAGGGTTAGTGTTGTTACGACAGAATGCGTTACGACAGTCTAGTCTCAAGGTCATAGACGACTGGATACGCAAGAATAATAACACGTGGAGCGTGGAAAGTTACAAACATACACGTGAACTAATATAAGTGTGTTAAAAAGAAGCTTACGATTACTCCATTAATGGGATAAGGGTCCAGTTAGTATTGAGGAAGTTTCAACAAAGATATTAATTAATAAATAAATAACTGTTTAACCAATTATTTACTCCAGAATTGGTGACACATAACCAAGTGAAAAGAAAGTAACTACTTATGAATCACTTTTTAAACTTTTGGGCAACTATTTCGGAAGTTATTAACTCTTTCTTATTAAGTCTGGATGTCTATTTATTCTTATCCCTAGACCGAAAACCTCCAGTTTTGTATTTTAATACTAATATATTTAAAAATAAAATAAATATTATTTCTAGAAAATATGATTTTTTACGTGGTTTCCCTAACATAAGTCTCTATCTATAAATTCTCCTTAAATAGGTTGAGGCAATAATTTAATAGATATAATAGAAGCGTGAGTATTTTTAAATTAGAAATTTTTAACTATATCATAAATATTTAAATTGCGTTTGTAGCTAAAAGAATTTTTGCCATTAAATGATTTATGCTAATTTAAAAAATATCAATATTAAGTAAAAGATTTCATTATTTTTCTAAAAGAGAGATACATCACAGTACCATTTACATCACATTGTACACGTTGGTCATCTACTTGCATTCGACTTCAATTGATCCTTTCGATATTCAACATTATCATTAGCCGTTTCAATTAGTCAATAAATAAAATGCTTTTTATATTTTCTTTTTAAGACTTACTCACATTTATAATTTATTATTTGTTTATATCAGCGCGATTGAGTATTAGTATTAAGTGTCCTACCTATCCACATTGATGTATTATATAAGGTTTTATGATTCGTGTATAATACATTTAATTTTTATAATTATATATTGTAAATTTCATTCTACATTCATTCATACAGTCCACTCACCTTATTCCTTTTCCTCGATATATCTTTTTTTTTTTTTCAACACAGTCGACATAGTGTTGGATACTCTGGAACTACCGTGAAGTATTGCTTCAGGGCTTTTCGATATAACCTGACTTAAGACAAAATAAAACTAAGAACCGTTAACAAACCCGCATGAATACCACCGAGTGCTGTGTTCATATAAATGTAAATGTTAAAATTCATATCAGATGAAAAATTTTCTATTTTACTTACTGACATTTGGAGATGGTGTGCTAGTTGGAAATTGACGGTATATCGTAAGGACCAGATGAAGTATTTTCCAAAACAACCTTATTGTCTGAATAACTATCTTCATTTCTCAAGAACAAATTAGTTTTGCTCCTTATGTTGCTTTCGTTAATAACGAACCTTAAGTCGTTTTATGAATTATGTTGAATACTTGAAAGAGTCTACTTCTTGTCACTTTGATTTTCATAACCCAATGTCTTTTTGATTACAATGCTGTATGTAAGTCATTTGTTAACAAATTTAAAATTTTTATCATAAAATAACTCGTCAACCTATTTTATAAGTTCTCCTATAATATAGAATACGTTAAAATAATAATTTCATAACTTAAAGAGAAGTGTGAGTATTTTGACACAACTTATTTAAATAGTGTAATATACACTCAAACATAAATAAAATACAAAAGTAAATTTGTGACAAAACCACTCTTAAAAAAAAATGTAAATTATAATAAAAAAAATATAATACATGGTAAGTTTTCAATTTTACTTACTGACCTTTTGGAGATGCCGTGTGAGATGGACTTTTATCGTAAAAGAACTCGTCAAACTTTATTATTAGTTCCTCTGAAATGTTAAATACGTGGAAGTAACAATTTAATAGAAAATTGAGTCTTTTAAAATTAGCCTTTTTTTAATTTAACATAAATATTAAGAATTACGTTTATAGCTACGAGAATTTTCCATGTTTTGATTGAGAGGTGGTGACTTGGCGACGCAACGGATTGTAGAGTCGCCACCCTCATGGCTCCCTTGCAATAAGGAAAGTCGGATTGCTAACCGCTTAAGCGATGGTCTCAATTATAAAAATATCAAACAATAAGTGGATTAAACATTAAAAATAAAGAAGATTAAATTAAATAATATAGACTACTATAAAATAAATTGTATCCTTGAATAAATAATTATATATAGGTATATTAAAATATAAAGTGTTGTTGTAGACTATAATATTATGATACTTTGTAGATAAAACAAAATATATTTTATTTGTTATCACCAGTGGTAGACATACATTAGTATGTTGTAGACCGTTACGTTAAAACTAGAGAGAATTATTAAAGGTAAAAAATAAGATACATGTGAATATTAAAGATATTCACGCCATAAAAAGATTTTTGTTGATAAAGATTATTAAGGGAACTTTATTAAATTATAAAAATTAATTTAATAGTGGACAAAACCCGAAGGCAAAAACCACTCTGAAAATTAAGGGACAAGAGTAAAAAAATTAATTATTAAGACAAGAATAATAATTATTACAATTATTGTAATACAGATCTTTTAGATATTACACGTGAAGTGTTTTCCGACCGGAACAAGTCTGTATACTCCAGGCGCGACGGATAATCTTTGTAATTTGGCCGGCCGGACCGTACTTGGGCACTGTGGAAATAATATATATGTATTAAGTATACATGACACACCACTAACCAATAACCTTGTATTTTACCAATTATTAAAATAATAAATAATGAAAAAAAAAATTATATATATATATATTATATAAAAGAATAAAGTTTGACAGAAAAAGATGGCTCAAACCATTATAAGTAATAAAACAAATACGATACGCAGTCCCGGGTGCCAGCTATAAAATTAAATAATTTTACTTAGTAGTTTATTATTTTAGCTTTGATGCGAAGCCGAGAAAGTATTAGTTTTACTATAATGTGTTTTTTTTTGTGTCTGTTAAATTTTTTCATATGAAGTAGTATTTATATACATCTTTCATTCGACATATTTTTTTTATAAACTGACAATACAGAAAGTATATCTATTGATAATCATAATTGATAATAAAAAATCCGTGACTGTGACAGCAATATCATAAAAACCAATTAGCTACTTGTATTTGTAATCCCTAGTGTATTATAAATGTTTATTAACTCAAAAATTTGAAACTTTAAATAATTTTTTATTTATAGATGCATGTTGTCTTTACCTATCATTTGGCATATTTTTTTTATAAATCTGACCCTTTACCTGCCCACTTGAGGGGACTTAAAAGGACAACTTTTTCACAAAAAAATTACTTTATTAATTTACTTATTATGAGAAATATTATTTATATCCCTCTTTCATTCGACATACTTTTTTTAAAAATAACACCATTTACCTTTATATATTTATATGTTATATGTATTACACTTATAAATTATAAAATTTGTAATCAGAATATAAATAAGGAAATAGAAGATCATGCAACTTTTGGAATAATCCACTAATTTTTTAAAATGAAACACTATTTACAGATTTGCATGGAAGCGTTTTTTATGATAGTGATTTTAATCACTGTCAGATAGTATTATACTTGACCCAACTAAGTCACACCTCCACTGTGCCACGACCCCACTATGCTGGGTTTTTTTTAACTCTATTTGTGCATGTACTACTAGCCATTAATATTTCAAATTTTTTGATACACATGTTACTATATAAATAATTTCCAAAAAAATTATTTTTAGTTGCACCTGAATTTAACAATGGATTTGTATAATTATANAAGTGAGGCGCCGGAGGAGATTATAAGTGAGGCGCCGGGGAGATTATAAGTGAGGCGCCGGAGGAGGCGCAAGTGAGGCGCCCCCACAAACACACATCAAACATATTCAATTTTTTTTTACAATAAACTTTCACAAAACTATATCAAATTTTTTCATCAACTTTAATGAACCAAAATAATAGTTAAAAAATGAAAATTTGTATTATTTTTAACATATTAAAAATCAAAATCAGTAATAATTTGAAATCAATTTTTTTTTTTTAATTATTATTTTATATGTAATTAGTAATAATATAAAAAATTAGAAGTGATAAAAAAAGTCTTATATTATGCTATTCAGCAATTTACAAAAAAATATTTTTTTAAATTTTAAATGTAACCTGTAAACTAGTAATCTAGTAAATTTATTTTAATAATAATTTTACAAAATTATTTTTTTAATTTCAACTGGCGGATACTTAGCATTTATTATCTAATGAAAACTAAGTAGGTGAATAATCAATACAAACCACAATTAATATTTAATCAGAGCTTTTGTTAAGACGGTCAACTTTTCTGAATACTAAATTGTCATAACAAGATTTGAAAACATCTTCATAAAAATTGTCAAAAAAATTGTATTAAATCTAAAAACATGGAGGTTCTTAACGATATAGATTATACAGCATTATTTTTTTATAATTTATTGAAATATGTTTATAATTATGTTATAGTAAGTGTACAGGTAAACACTTAAACAAATACAACAAGTTAAAAAAATGTTTTTTTTTTTTAATGATTTTTAAACATTAAATTTGATTTGTAATCTAGTGATCCAGTAAACTAATTTTAGTAATAATTAATTTATTAAATGCAACTTCTTGATACTTAGCATTTATTATGTAGTAAAGACTAAGTAGGAGAATAATCAATCTAATCCACCATTATTATTTCATCAGAGGTTTTGTTGAGACGATTAACTTTTCTGAATCCTAAATTTTCATAACAAGATTTGTAAACAATTTCACAAAACTCGTCAAAATAATTACATGCAATATGATAAACTTGAGTTAACTGTTCATAATATGTAGTACTCATTGTACTTGCTAAATGCATAAATTGTGTTATTAATTTGGTCTTTTCATAATACGGTTCTTTCATATTACAACGGCAGTTCATGGTTCTCAAATCGGAATTTAGTTCAATATTAAATTTTTTAAGACAACCTAAAAAATATATCAATTTTTTGTCTATTTTCTCGGTTTTTTTAATACCATTTTTATCAACAAATTTATCTTGAGAAAATTCATTGTTATTCAATAAAGAAAGAAAATCGTTAATCCATTTAAATATTTTTTGTAAATTCGAATGAGACAAAAAACTAAAATTCCAAAGTGATGATTTCTGTAAAGTAATTAAAGCTGTATGCAGACCTTCAAACATTATTTTAGATTTATTGAATGAGTCAAATAATTTAATCAAACAATTGTAGTTAAATCGATTTGCTTCTGTATTGCACAAGAACATTATTGTAGATAATATCACATGGTAATTTTTAATTGTTTCTGTGTATCTACATCTTAATAATTGTATTACATTTTCTTTTTTTATTTGAAAATTCATGATATTAATTGGGTCTTTCATAATTGAATCAACGCTAAATTGTTTTCCATTATAAACTATTTTTATATGTTCCATTGTTTTCCAACCAGATTCCTGTCGAAGTATATTGAAAGCTTTAATTGCCATATTTATATTAATATTTGGTTCAATTGGAGGTATGAGTCTGTATTACAAAATACATTAAGATGATTAATAAAATACACAGATGATTAAATTTAAATATTACTAATGAGACATTGCTTTATTTCCATTTAGTTTAATTTTTAAAAAATGATAAAAATATAGAATTGTATTATAATTATAAAATATCAAAGATAAAAATAAAGGATTTTGAAAACTAACATTATAAATGTATAACATGATTATTATTATTTAGAGATTTCTAAGGGCTTATTTAAAATTTTGGAAATTTAGGATGAATAACATTTCGTCCAATTTTATTACGCACAATATCAGTTATTAATGTAAATGAATCCACATTGAAAAACAATAGAAAATGAGTCTTGAAAAATTGATTCAAAATAACAGTACCAAAATAATGTTACATAATATTATTAAAATGTAATAGTTTTTTCATAAATTCAACTATTTTAAAAGACATCTTAACGGGTTTACTATATGCATATTACAATATAAATTTTACAAATCAAAAATTAAATATACCATGAAATGAACGAACATACTAAGTTTGTTTATTTTAGGGATGAGCCTAGCCTAGAGGGTATAAACATATGATTCGGTGGGCAAGGTCCCGGATTCAATCCCCAGGGTGCCAATGAAATTTTTCTTGTGATATTCTTATTAGTGGTAACTGGTCTCTGATGCAATCCGGATAGAATACCTTCCAGTTTATCATTAGCTTAGAACTATACTTAACTCTCTAACATATTAAAAAAGGATTATCACCTTATGTAGAATTTTTAGTTCAGAAAATAAAAGGATGAAAACATATTTAATTTACAAATTTGTACAATGGCTGTGTTATATTTACTATAATACAATTCATAAACCACAAATTTAAATTTCTTATACTTCCAAAAAACTTATTAAATTATTTATATTTTTGTATATAAATAAAAAACCCAAGATTAATTCGATACAACAAAAAATTACGAGTCGTGTTCAATTAGGTTCATGGATAATATAAAAAAAATACAGCAGAGTGAGATCGTGACACAGTTCATTATTAGGTTACGTATGAATAATTAATAAATATATTTTAACTAAAAATTAAATTGAAAAAGTTCTACTTTCTATATGCAATTTTAAGTTTTAAATCTCTCCTGTATAAAGGAAAATGGTCCGATTTAAAAAAATGTAATTTCGAATGAAAGAGGTATATAAATAATATTTATCATAAATAAATTGTAATGATCCATCCTTTTTTCAAAAAATTATAGTATTATAAATATAAAAATATAAAAAAGAATTTTTTACAAAATTCAAATTTTTTTATTATTAAATTTTATGTCTGTTTTCACTTTAATAACAAAATAAAAGTCTAAAATTTTTTTTTTTTTTTTAGTATTAGCTTTAATTTAAGATACGTATAAAAGTGTCAGTATTTTCGGAACATTTTCAAAAAAGGATTAGATTTATTAACAAAACATACAACATTTTTTAAAAATTATGGTAGTTTTAAGTAAAATAAAACATTGAAAAGTGTTTAAATTTGTAATTTTTTTTTTGGAGATTTCCCTTATTTACGGTTAACGTGGGAAATATTTCCAAATTTTGAGGGTAATGCATTCGACTAGATACGATTTGTGATTTTTTAAAAAGCAATCGGTTTGGTGAGAGTTGAGAATAAGTGATAACAGACACAAAAAAAAAACAGTAAAATTAATACCTCCTTAGCTTTGCATCGAAACTAAAAGAAAATATAGGTATTCTTACTTGGATGTTCTGGGATTGAGAAATTGTTCAAAGCCAAGATTTTTATACCAAATTTCTATGTTTTTATTATAAAACGATTTAAGTTTACTGCATGTTAAATAGACTAAATAAGAGTCATCTTCATTCATGCCAATTGTTGTCGAATTGGTTTTTATAGAAGTGTCAATAATAATATTACTATTTTGATAGAGATTATTTACTATTTTTGATGCAACTATATGAAATTCATTTAAATTCTTAAAATTCATTTCAGAGTCTTGAAAATTTGGTAAGCAGTTCAGATCTAAATGTCTGTTAAGATCTAAATGGCTGTTCTCTGATATTTTTTGAAGTACATATTTTTGAAAAAAGTCGATTTCATCAATTATAACATTTGGCATAATGGATCCATGAAACACAAATCTTACATCAATGTAGCTAAAAAAAGTCATAGCATTGTGAAGATTTTCAAACATAGTCTTGGAATTTTTCACTTCATCAATGAGTGATGTTACACAACAAATAAAATTTTCTTCTAAATTTCTTTTATGAAATTTATTACATAATTGGAGAATAATATCTATGTAATCGAGAAAGTGTTTTAGTATTTCAGTATACTTGAAATTTATTAGATTTATTGTATAAAAATAGTTAGTTTTAAAATTAGTGTACTTTGTGTTAGGTTTGAAAACTTCATCTACACTAATAGTACAAATTGAATCTTGTTTCAATTTTAGATTTAGTATTTCTTTCGATTCAATATGTGAAAAAATGTGACTAATCACTGTTTTGATGTAATTTCTATAATCTTCGCGATAATTATTAACAGGAGTACAATTGCATTTTACTGTTTCATCCAGTTTTACAATGAAAATGCCAATAGATATTAAAATAAACGAATAAAATTCCATTGGAAATAAAATACTAATAATAATTATAACTAGTCAACAACTAAAGAACATTTAAAATTAATATTTGGAAATATGTTCATTAGTATTTTATATCATAGATATATTAGTCAAAATTTTGTATATAGATGTGGCATTAAAAAAATAACAGCAATTTATTTTTATTTTACAAATAACTTTTAGAGGATATGTAAATTATATTATTATGTGACTTATAATATATTGATAAATTATTTCTTCAATTCCTATGGTATTTTTTTAATGAGACCTTAGAATTACTGTTAAAAATTGTTTAAATTATATCATATAACACTTTTATTTTATAAAAAAATATTGATTGAGAATAGTCGGATAACATCTTTATAAATATAGTAGTACATTAATATTAACTTTTTAATTGCTGTTTTTCAAACAAACTGGAATGGTGTTTCAGAATATAATAATTTCAAAAAAATTTTGAACATCCTGTAAATTTGATTATTTGTTTTGTATGAAAAATTATGTATTTCAATTAATAATTATTAACCCAAATGGCATGGTGTTAATGGCAAATTAAGCGCTGTAAATTGTTAGTGATATAACAATCTGTTTGTCCTCGTTCATACGTATACGTAAAATTGTGTGAAATAAACAAAAGTACCCTTTATTTTTTACTTTTGCTCGACCTGTGTGGAGGGGGTATGTTTAATTCTAGTTTTATGGTAGAAAGAGACAGATGGTTTTTTTTTTTGCTACTCTTGTACTTCCCCCCGCCGTAAACGTCCGGTATCAATTCGCGTTGTTTGTTTTAGCAACGGCTAAAATATTATCAACAGTTATGGAGCTTTGGTACGGCTGTGTTGTGGGTACTTCTATTGAATTTTTGTCGATAGCGAACCAACGATAGATATACGGCACTTCGTTGAGTTTTACAGGCACGTACGCTGTGATGAAATTAAAGTTACCTAAATGTGGTTAATTCCTGAGCGCTACGCTACAATGTCGGCATGATCGCGCTCTATGGGGCAACCAAACGTCAGAACAAGGACAGTTTCTCTAGTTCGGGGAATCGGACGCATCCTCTAATTGCAAATAAAGGAATGACTTGCAGATATGTAGGTTGGGCATAGGGAACGCGTCCAAAACAGTCATTTCGTTGAGTCGCCTGTAATCGATACATAAGCGGGATGAGCCGTCTTTTTTCTTGGCCAGGACGACTGGAACTGACCAGGGAGAGGTGCTGGATTCCATAAGTTCCCATGATTCCATATCGTTTACATTTCGACTACCTGATCTACAAAATCATGAACAATTAGGGTGACACGCATCGCAAGCCGTTGTTTATTTATACAGAACTCCACCATTCACTGATGGGCCCCCTGTTATGTTATTATGAATTCGTTCTTTACATCCACATGGACGCTGTGATTATCAAAAGTCACGATAACCTATCTTGAAAATTGGCACCAGGACATGTTGTTTAACTTAATAGAGTCCCACCAATTAAATGTCCCTTAGTTTTAGTTATTATCGAGGTGGACATAATGCCCATGCACTCAGACCTGTTGGTCCATTGTGCGCACCTCATACCGAATTGTCTTGATTCCAGCTTTGAATTCACCTGATCGTTAAGATAGTTAAACCAAACCTTAAGATAGTTATCTCCCTATTTTTGTATACCAGCAGGTTCTGAGCCCCTACCAGTATCGCCATCACCTCTGCTTGGAAAACAGAAAGTGTTGTGCCCAATGACATACTGATCTTTAATCGTGGCTTTAAACCTCAAATTCCAGTATCTACCTTTCCTGATTTTTGGATCCATCTGTATATATCACAAATCCTCCTTTTTCAGTCAGGTGGTTAATATTCCATTCTCTACGTGTAGTGATCTCCACTTTGTAGGGAATGTTATTCTTAAGAACCGGTTTGATATAGTCCAAAGGCTATTCCAAAAAGCGCTAGTCTATCTCTTTTAGTATTTTACCATGTTCTATTGTATCACTCTCCAAAGTCCACATACCTAAGTTGTGGATTCTTAGTGCTGTGGCTTTGGCGTGAGCTTTTACCTTTAGATGCAGAGGAGGCAATCCAATTAGTGCCTCTAATGTGACCGTTGGTGTAGTTCTTAATGCTCCAGTGATGGCAATAGCAGCCATTCTCTGTATGCGACTAAGTTCTTTCCTAGCTGTAATAAGTGCTATTCTGGCCCACCAGACTAGGGCACCGTACAATATCATATGTTTATCACTGATGTGTACAACCAATAAATAACTCTTGGTTTAAGACCCCATGTCTTACCCAAGGCTCTGCTGCAAATGTCCCTTTGTTGTAACTCAAAAAAAAAGAGACGAAAGGAATAATATAAAATAATTAATTTAAAAGAACAAGAATAATATATGATATATGTTATGATGGAAGTGGTCTTAAATAATACAATAACTATTGATGTATGATTGAATACTTTATTTAAAATCATATTAGAAACATATTATAAATTACACATTGTCTTAACTTAAACATCAAACTTTATATTATATTGACTGTGTTATCATTACTATGATATGTTATCATTACAATATATAATATTATGCATAGATGCGTTGCTTGAACAGATATTGAAATAATTTAGTGATGGGAATTTCGGATCAATCGAACGATCCGGATCGTTTGGATCGGATCGTTCAAATGACCCGTTCATATAACTCGTTCTTTCGTTCATTTCTTACGATCGGTCACGGTTCTTATCAATTACTCCTTACTATGGTTTTCCTGAACGAGTCGTTCAAATTCGCATTTTCACCATGTAACATTACCGTGATATCAGAATTTTTACTGATAATACACTTGTATAATCGGGTTATATATTATTTTTTCAAATACAAATTACTTGAAATAACATAATATGCTGTTATACACGAATATTTTTGTATAGAATAAAAACAAATAATTTATACTAGCGGATGAGTTGCGGTACATAAATCCATAGAATTTGTTTCTATAATAAGCGAAATCATTTAAATTATTTGTTTTCATAAAAGGAGTTTTATAGAGAAATTAATTCACCTAAATCAGATATTACAATTTACAGCAGCTATGACCAGATTATTAAAGAGTGAGGTGGTTTAATACCTCTCACAACAATTATATTAGTCTAATAGTCAATTTTTGTCCTAGTTGCTAAATTCACTAATTTATAGACCTATTTTCGCTTATAAATAATTATATGAATGTAATATTTATGAAATAAATAGCTATATATTGATAATCAAAATTGTTCTTCAAATGAACAATATAGTAGGATACTTGAAGTAATCTAACTGTTTTAAACCTGCATGATTATGTTAGTAGAAACATGTCACAACTTTGAAAATTTAGTCTGCAGACCTACAATAAAAATGTTTTTATCACAAACCAAATAGTGTTGCTTTTAAACTCTCATTGGCAATAAGTATTTTTTTATTTAATTTTTTAAGAAAACATTATAAGTATATACTTATAAAAAATATATTCTTCGTTTTTTTTTAAAATTTTTATATTATAAGAATATAAGGTTAGGCATAGGTTTTATCTGAAGTGCAGGTAAACGTTCAGTAAATGAACGAATCATGAAACAGTGTGTCCGATATATTGCGTGAAACGAACGAACGAACGTATGAACGAATGAACAATATTTATTTTTTTTGCGATCCGGATCAACTCGTTCACTGATATGACCCGTTCAAAAAGATCCGTTCGTTCGTGAACGACCTATCACTAAAATAATTGAGACTCTTATGGTCTTAAGCTTAATTCCTTATTATTATTTTTTTGTAACAATATATTATACAATATAATTTTTCCAATATTTATTTTCCCTCTCTCTCTCTACAATAAATATAGAGTGATCGAAATCTGGTAAGACATTCATTTTCTTAGAAACTATTGAGAGTTTTAAATTTTTTAAAGAGAAAAAATATCAAGTTAAAAAATGTCTACATTAATATGTAGTCAAATCATTATTATTTTCGTCCCTTCAGGGATAATAACTCTTATTTATAATTGTCTTAAATGGGAACCCTAATTTTTAATTTTATAATATGATAGAAAAAATATTTCATACATCTTAGTTAATACAATTTTTTTTTTCGATTGACTGTTCATCCGTTACAGATTATTAAAGTTAAGTGATTTTAGTCCAATTTTCTATTGTTATTTTACTGTATTAAATACAGAAGTCATTATTTTTATTTGTAAGTATTACACACTCATAAACTATGCTATTAATAACACACCGAAAACCCGATTTGAATCTATTATTCTTATCACTAATTTAGTGCACCATAGATTATTATAGCAAATTAATCTGTCATAACTTGATCAATAAAATTTGGTTTATGCAACAGCAAACAAAAATAATAAACTCCTCAAAAAGGGGGCCAGCTAAAACGGCTAGTAGATATTATATAGAGACAAGAAGAAATACCAACAAAATGGCACATGTCAGTGTTATGCCGGATTCACAAAAAAGGAGATCCTATGGTTTGCCAAAACTTACAGAGGAATATCTCTACTAAACACATCTTACAAAATAATATCAAATATAATATTGAACCGAATCAAACTAGCATGGCCGCCGGTTATTAAAAGTGTACCGGAAATCATGTGTAAAAAAGAAGCACGGTACGGGATTAGAACCCGCGACCCAAGGCGTCGTATAGACAAACCTTATCACTAGGCCATCGTGCACTTATGATTCAGATCCCGATACACTTTCATTTAGGTTGATAACGTGATGTGCGGCTGAGGGAAACACGGTAACGCGTCAAAACCATATTTAAAGGAAATAGTCGGAAAATATGAGTCAGGATTCATGCCAGAGAAATCGACAGTTGATCAAATAGATACGATAATGCAAATAGCCACGAGTTCGACATATATATGTAATTATTATTTATCAATTTCAGACAGGCATATGACTTCATAAATCGATATAGGCTCTGGAAAGTAATGACCCAACTTGAAATCTCTGCAAAACTAATAAAACTGGTAAAATTCTATAAGCAAAGTTAAATTTAAC